TGAACCTGTCCCCAAGGCCCCCTTTTTTCTAACTTCTTAGTGAGCCAAAGCAGCCCAGTCTAGGTTCATTTCCCCACCTGGTCCCTTTCCTGTTAGCCTAGGCCCTTCTTTGTTTCACTGTCCCCAGCTTTAATACATGTCCTAAAATTAAAAACAAAAAAAAGACACCTGAATGTCTTTATCCACTAAAGGACATGAACAAGAATGTTCACAATAATTTCACATAATAGTCAAAAACAAGAAATATTTCAAACGTCCATCATCAGGAGAACAGATAAATAAATTGTGGTATATTTCTACAATGAAATACTAGTAGCTCTGTAACTTTTTAAAAGACTGTTTTTATGAATATTTAGAACTTCTTTTACAATTTGGATTAATTTGGGAAGTTCTTTCATAATTGCAAACAATCCTTAAATCAACTGGTTATTTAAGTGTGATTTTGTATCCTTGATTTTTTTTTACTTAAATTTTTGAAAAGTAATATATTCACATGGTTCCAAATGCAACAGTATAAATATTTTTATAATAAATCTTCATCCCACACCTGGCCACTCAGTTCCTCTCCCACAGGCAATTGTGATATTAAATTGTTTCCCAAAGACTGTTTAAGTATGTTCCAATAAATATTTTCAAATATATCCTCTATTTTTAAACTTTTAAAACAAATTTTTTTTCTTTATTGATTTTAGAGAGAGAGAAAGGGAGAGGAAGAGAGAGATAGAAACATTGATGAGAGAGACATCGATTGGCCGCCTCCTGCATGCTCCCCACTGGAGATTGGGCCCACAACCTGGGCATGTGCCCTGACCGGAAATCAAACCAGCAACCTCTTGGTGCGTGGATTGATGCTCAATCACTGAGCCACACTGGGTGGGCTATTCTCTATTTTTAACGCTAAGCATACTATACTTAATTTTTTATTTAATAACATATCTTGGCCCTGGCCGGTTTGGCTCAGCGGTTAGAGCATTGGCCTGTGGTCCAGGGAGACCCGGGTTCGGTTCCTGCTAAGGGCACGTACCTCAGTTGCAGTTTGTCCCTGGCCCTGGTTGGTCGTGCGGGTGGCAGCCACTCAATGTGTCCCTTTCGCATCGATGTTTCTCTCTCTCTGTCTCTCCCTCTCTCTCCCTCCCACTCTATCTGAACAGAAAATGGAAAAAAAAAACAAAAAAAAACCTTGGAGGTGTTTCATATCAGTGTATTCTTTTTTATTGTTACACAGAGGTCACTGATTAGCCAAAAATTTAACTGAAACATTTTAAATGATTATTTACTTTAGCTCTTATTTATAACTCATCTAAAAATCCCTCAGCTATTTATTTTCATTTAACTTTTCAAGAAGGGATCGTGGATGGCCTTTTCAGGTGCAAATGTAAATGCTATTTACATAGCAGAATATCCCATTTAAGGGGGGAAAAAAAGCTAAAATCAAAATATTCTGGGAGAAAACCACCATGAACCCTTGGAAAGATGTAAAATTACTTATGAGGAGAATATATAAAGATAGGATAGTGCAATAAAATGAGCTTCCTGCTCTTATAAAATAAAATTCTCTTAACTCTATTGATATTTCATAAGTTTATTCAACTTTAGAACTAATGCTCTAAAATACGGGCCATTAAAAATATCATTTAGGCCCCAGCCAGGTAGCTCAGTTGGTTAGATGATAATCTGGACATGCCAAGGTTGTGGGTTCAATTGCCAGTCAGGGCATATACAAGAATCAACTAATGAACACATAAATAAGTGGAACAACAAATCAATCTCTCTCTCTCTCATCAATCAATAAACTTTTTTTTTAATTTATCCTTACCCGAGGACATTTTTTTCCATTTTTTGCACAGATAGAGTGGGAGGGAGAGAGAGGAAGAGAGAGAGAAAGAGAAACATCGATGTGAAAGGGACACATCGAGTGGTTGCCACCCGCACGACCAACCAGGGCCGGGGACAAACTGCAACCGAGGCACATGCCCTTAGCGGGAACCGAACCCGGGTCTCTTCGAACCGCAGGTCGACGCTCTAACTGCTGAGCCAAACCGGCCAGGGCTCAATAAACTTTTTAAAGCAATATTATTTAATGATAATATTAAATACAAATTTTCATACAGAAAATATCTATGATTAGGCTGTAAGGGAAACCAAATATACTTACGATTAAATTGTGTCACATATTTATCACCAACAGTTACATAGTTCATCTCACTGAAGAGGCCGATCCTCTCCATATCAGATTTTCCTCCTTCTGCAGGCATGGTTGCGTCTCCTGGATGTGTGCTCTATAGTGATGACTTGAAAAGGCTCCTTTGGGCTACTTCTATTATAACTCAATCCAACTCTATGATGAAAAATACAGGAGGGAATGTGATTACTAAACTTCAGTCTAAATTACTTTCTATTCTCTATAAAACAGTAGTCCCAAACTACGTGGGGAAAAAAATCTACTTTGTGGGGCTGAGGGAGGATGATGGGATTTAAAATTATTACCATAGACCCTTCCTTTGACTCTCCAGGTGAAATATCCATAAATTACAAAGTGTGTACAATAGCACTGTTGCGTGGCCATTCATCTGTTACACGTGATAGAATCATCACTGTATAGTGTGGTATAAATACTGTGCAAACAACATCCTTCGTTTGAGTGCAAGTTAGATTTAAACGTCATAATTAACTAAGTCAGGCATTTTCAGTTTAGATCAAATAATTTAAACATACTGCATTGTCCCTCGTATTGAAAATTATAACTTAGCTTTTCAGAATGCACAATACATACAGGCATTACCCTATAGTTCTTGAGTTTTTTCAAGTTTCGTGGAGGAGAAGACAGTTGTCTAGCCAAAATAAAAACAAGAAACAATAAAACAAACAAAAATCCACAAAGAATTTAAAGTATTTGTTAAAGGGTCAAGTGCAACTGAGATTTTCTTTTGAAATATCTCATTAGGCCCAGCCGGTGTGGCTCAATGGTTGAGCGTCCACCCATGCACCAAGAGGTCACTGGTTCGATTTCCAGTCAGGGCACGGGCCAAGTTGTGGGCCAAATCCCCAGTTGGGGGCATGCAGGAGGCAGCTAATCGATGTTCTCTCTCATTGATGTTTCTATCTCTCTCTCCCTCCCTCTTCCTTTCTCTCTCTCAAATCAATAAAGAAAAATAAATAAATCAATAGATAAATAAATAAATGAATAAGAACTATCTCATTAAACATGCAACTATTTCCTTAGGTACTATTTTTATAATTAGACCTGTTCTAGAATGGAGTACTAACAAGCTAAGAATACTTGCCTCCATTCCTCATAATATTTTTAAAGCACCAACTTGATTTAGGCACTGGGCATACATTAGTGAATAATTCAAACACTGGCTTATGCCTTGAATTTGGAGAAAGTTGTTTCAATGACACTAAACGTTTGTATTTGGAACGAGACTCATCTAAGTATGAATCCTTGCTAATGTGTAATATCAAAGCAGCAAGTGAAGATTCTAGTTACACTAAAACTAAGAAAATGCAACCTCTTCCCCCATCCTACCTCTTCCTCTGATCGGGGGTACACTTTAAAACTAGACATCAGTCAGTCAGGGTGTACTTCTTTGACTTGTATGGTATTCCAAAGCTCCATCCCACTGCCCAAACACAAAAAGTTCCCTGTGCGTTTACAGGGGCTCACAAAGCTGCTATTACCCTCATCTATCACCATGAGGACTCCACTCTCTGGCACCTGACCTCCATTTGTCTTCTTTCAATTCTCAGGTGGGGCCCTCCCCGGCCACAGGACCATGGCACAGGCTGTTTCACTTTAGGCAGGTATTTCACTGTGCCAAACACTTTCGTCCCTCCCTCCCCCACCAGCCATGAACGCTGAGCCTTCGTATTACTGAATTCGTTGACCACTCCATTAATTCCCTCTTATTGTAGTCTCATGCACTTCTCTTTCCATGCCCTTATGAAGGTTACCTAATGGATTATCATTTTACATTCACCATGTGGCGATCCTTTAATTATCAGCTGTCTCCTCCCACTCCCACCCCCCTAATTCGTTATTACAAATTGCCTACACAAAGGCAGGAACCACGGCATGAATCTGGTTATAATCACAATATCCCCAGCGTCTGCGCAGCACCTGGCGCGTCAGCGTGAGGAAAACTGTCCTTGCCTTGAGTTTTTCCTCTACTTAACTCTTCTCGAGCAACGTTTGCAAAACCATTCATTCATTTCTTTAGCAGATTCTTTGCAAAGCCCCCACCTCTGGGTAAGGCTCGCTGGTAGAAGCTCAGAAAACTGAGATTTTAAAATGCACAGATGCTGCCCCAGAGCTTACACTCTAGCAGATAAGAGCATAAAGATAACACGGAGCACGGCCGGTTCCCTTCGAAAGGCACGGAGACAGTGCGGGGTGGGGTGGGGTGGGGTGGGGGTGCAGGAGGGGCAGAAAACGTCTGCTAGCGTGAGGAGGAGCAAGATGTCCCCTAGGGAAACGGAGGCTCGGAGGAGGTAGGTATCTAAAGAGCAACACCTGGAGGCCGCGAGGACAAGTCGCCTCTCAGAAGGACACAGCCCGACAACCGAGACCAGGTCGTCTCAGCTCCAGTCCGGGTTAAATCCGCGGCAGGAGCGCCGAGGGCTGCCAGCAGCCTCGCGCGCGCTTCCCACTCGGGACCTGGCCGCGAAGAACCGCTGCGCGTTCGGCGCCCGGCTGCTGCTTATTGTGTCGCGTTGCCAAGGGTACGGGAGCATCCATTCCCAGGACGCCACGGGAGGACACGTGGGGACTGCGAATCCGCATCGAAGAACACGCGAAAAGCCTCATGACTGGGTTGAGATACAAAGGGCTCAATCAATAAAATTTCCTTGTAAGTTTTAATAAAGTGTATTATAAAGTTAATGACAGAAAGGGCCCTGATTCCCGCCCCATCACCCATCCTCCAGGAGCGGGGGTGTGGTCTGCCCAGGACGTGTGTCGCGGGGCATGCTGGGAGTTGTAGTCGGCCTGCCCAGGCCCCGCCCCTCGGTGGCGACACTTCCAGGCCAGCCTCCTGAGCCCGTGGGCGACGTCAGCGCCCCTGTGGCCGCCACGTCGCAGACATGGTGAGTACCTCTGCGCGCCACCGACCCAGAGTTTCCCCTCGGACTTCGGCGGCCGCCACAGCCCTTGAAAGGAGCTGGTCCAGCCGGGGCCACGATGGCCGCTGCGAACCCCGTGGCCCGGGCCGCCCTGTCCTCGGCCTCCGCGCTAGGGCCGGAGGGACCTTGCCCCGCACAAGCTTGGTCCCCAGCTCATCCGCGTTTGAACACGCGCGTCCTGCGCCTTCGAGGGGTTATTCGGCGTTGTTGACGGTTTTGAAGAAGGATTGGATCTGGGAAAGATGAATCACTTTTTTCAAATGCTCTATTCCCTTAGTTCCAGGGCTGTCACGCTTCCGGTTTCCCTCCCTTGTGTTTGCTCAGCCGGGTCCTCCAGGCCCTGTCCTTCATGTGGTGGACACTTTCCCTTACACCCTGTGCCTTCTCTCAGATTTGTGCCTCCAGCTCAGACCTTTATCCTGAGCTCCAGATCCACATGTCTGCTGACTGTGGCTCCACTTGGATGGCTTAATGCATTTCAAACTCTGTAAGTTCAAAACTGACTCATTGCCACCTCCCCTCATCCCACACCTGCTCTTCCTCCAGTGACCCCATCTCTGTTACTTGTGCCAGCGTTCACCTTGTGCATCCGAAATGGGTAGCATCCTTGACATCTCCCTCTACTCAGTTCCTGAACACCTGATCAATGTCGGGTCCCATGGAGTCCATTTCTCAATGACTGTAAATTCTCACTCTTGGTACTGTTACCATCCTTGGCCTTGCCACCATCGTCGAACCATCTACCTAGTCTCTTATATGGTCTTTCAAGCAAACCTTCACCAGTCTCTGCTGTGGCCTGGAGTGGGCCCCCCCCCCCCTCAACTTTCCTTTGGAATTGTTCATACTGGTTTCTGCCACCCTTCAGATCTCAGCTTGAATATTATTTCTTCAGAAGTCTAGGGAGAGTCTAGTGTTTTCACACAAGATTTTTTTGGAATCTTCACAACCATCCTATGAAGTTGTAGATGTTTCCAATTTTACAAAACTGTATAGAAGACTTGAGTAATTAGTTAAATTGTGCAAAATCATACATTAATCACCAAGTTAAATTTGTTCATGCCTGACTTTTTAACTTTTATCTCCTCCAGTAATCTTTCATTGTCACTAAATATTTTTCACTCAAATGGGTGCATAGTATTCTGTATGGTAGTATTGTTCTTTATTTAACTTCTTATTGATAACTATTTAGGTGGGGGTTTTGGGGGGAGCAGGGTGCTGTGATGAAGTGGAGTATGATAAGTGGACAACATTGAAGCTTCATTTGTCTTGAACTTTCTTGGTTATTTTCTTAGAATAAACCCCAGAAGTAGAATAGAGGCAGAGTACCTTTCAACAGGTTACAATTTATGAAATAAATAAAAGCAGCCACCCTTTAAAAAATGTGACAAGAGATTTGTAAATGAGAAGAATGGTAATGGTATCTGCTTCTGATGTTCTGAGGATCGGAGTTAATATATGTGCAATCATTTAGCGCCATGCCTTTTACATTTTTGGAGCTCAGTAAATGTTAGTACTTATTGGTTTCAAAATAGGGTTCTTATTATGTAGTGTGGTTCTTAAGCCTGTTTGGTAAAAATTTTGAGATTCTGATAAACTCTTTGAACCTCTTTCCAGAGGGTCTCTTCCTCCTCCCCCTCCTCCCAACAAAAATGGTACATGTCATTTGTCATATGTCATAAACTACCTAAACTCAGCACATGGACCCAAATTGAGTACTACTGATAGATTCCATTTTATAAGTGCTTTTTTTCCATTTGTAAGTTGCAAGTATTGTCCTATGTTGTGAAATATTCTTCTGAAGCATGATTTTTCCATGGCTGTGTAATATTTATAATTATTTAACTCATCTCCTATTGTTGACATTTCAGTTAACATCCTTATACCTGAATCTTTGTTTTGCTGATTTCCTTAGACTGAATTTCTAAATGCAGACTCACTGCTCCAGGGATGTGAATGAAAGGCTTTTGGTTCTTATTGCCACATTGCTTTATGAACAGTTCTCTAGCTCATACTCCCACCGTTAGTGATGTGTTAGTTTTCTCTCATCGTCTTGACCACCGAGTATTACTATATTAGATTCAACGTTTCGTCCCATTCTTAAAGATTTTTGCCATTGAAATGTTCATGTCATTGTTAAGACTATAATTTAGACATGTGGTCTTAACAGCACTTGATACGAACCGAGCTCTCTATATCCTAGCCTTGTGCTGAAGGCTTGCCATGTGTGGTGAGAGCGGGGTTGAAGCAGTGCAATATTAAAACAAAAGCCATGAGTCTTTAAGCCCAGTGTGTAAAGACTCACCGTGAGTTATAACTCAGTGGCACAACTAGAAAAATAGAGAGAGAAATATGGTCTTAGAGCAGTGGTCCTCAGCTTTTCCACATTAGAATCACTGGTGTGGCGGAGCTTTTGAACATCCTTATCCTCAGACCCTCCCAGACCAATTCATCAGAGTCGCTAAGGGTGCAGCCCAGGTGTCAGTATTTAAGTTCCTCAGGTGATTCCGGTGTGGGACAAAAGTTGAGAACCTCTGATTTAAAATTCAGGATGTTTTGTTGTGTTTTTCTTCATAAAACAAAGAATTAACTCATTAAATAATTTGAAAAGTCAAGATTAATTAATGCCTTAACCTAAACTTAGTTACTGAGTCTAATTTATATGAAGATGAGTTTTTGTTTCACAATGGAATTCTTGCCTCATTTGTCTCAGGTGATTTCAGAGACTATGGATCTACTCTTCAGGATAAGAGGAGGCCTTGATCTAGCTTTTCAGCTAGCTACTGCTAATGGTAGGTCTGCCAGAAATCTCTCCTTTTTTATTATAAAATTGATGATGAGCTCTACTGAGATTCTCAGCAGTTTGCAAATGAAACTGAGTGGGAGATAGACCAGATAGCTAGCAAGTTATATGAATTAGATTTAAACCGAGACACTGTGTGCAAATACAAAAAAGATGAGCATGTAGATGAATTTTGAAACTATTATGCTGAGTGAAAGAAGCCAGACACAAAAGGCCACGTAATGCATGATTCCATTTATATGAAGTGTCCAAAATAGATAAATTTATAAAGACGAAAAGTAGAATAGTGATTGCCATCGTAGGTATAGGGGGAATGGGGAATGACCGCGGATAGGTACAGAGTTTCTGTTGGAGTGTTCAAACTTTCCTGGAATTAGAGAGTGATGATTGTAAAACCTTGTGAATATACTAAAAGTAACTGTATTATACTCGTTATAAGAGTGAATTTTATGGTCTATGAATTTTATCTCAATAATTTAAAAAGAAAGGCATAATTTTTTTATAATTATTGAATCTGGGGAATGGATAGTTGGGAGTCAGTTTTACTTGATTATTTTAAATTTCTATTTTTGGGTGTTTGGAAGCATTCATGTTGAAAAGTTTAAAACTTTTCTCATTAATTTCTATTTTTACTCTTAATTTAGAAATTTTTGTCAAGAAAGCACTAAAACATGTGTTGAGTGACCTGTCAACCAAGCTCTCTTCAAATGCACTGGTGTTCAGAGTTCGCCACAGTTCCGTGTACGTGTGGCCCAACAGTGACATGAACACCGTTCCCGGAGAACTGACCGATAGCTCTGCCTGTCAGACCATACTGCGCTTTCTTCAGTGAGTATGTTCGAAGATGGCTAGAAGTGTTTTTACAGTGTCATTTCACATTATAAACATCTTTGTGTGTTAAAAATTTAGGTCTCAACAGGAAGAAGATACAAAACGAAAATTTATGAGAAAGAAAGACAAAAAGTTATCAGACATGGTAAGCAAATCACCTGTCTTCTCAGTGGTAAAAATTTTAAATCCTTGAATTTGGAGTTGAGGTCTTAGAAATTATTTAATCCATCTCTCCTAGTTTTTACAGATCAGATTATTGAGGGCCAGAAAGATAAATGACTTGCTAGAAGTTATATCTCTTTTTTTCATATCTAAACTTTTGTCCTATTATAGTACTTATCTTAAAATTTTCTGAATGCTTTCTTTATTGCCAAAAAAATAAAACGGCTTGAGTACATTTACAAATTATTTAAAAATAAATAAAAGGGAATCATTCTGAAACGTGACAGGGACACATTATGCTGTGTGCGATAGTAAATAATGAATAATTTACTTTTCTTCACACTGTTCTTTTTTATTTTTATTTTTACTGAATTTTTTAGAGAGAGAGGAAGGGAAAGGGAGGTGGGGAAAGAAACATCCATGTGAGAGCAAAGCATCTGTTGCGCCCCCTACCAGGGATCAAGCCTGCAACCCTGGCTTGTGCCCTAACCAGGAATCGAACTGCCCACCTTTCGGTGCACAGGACGACACCCAGCCAACTGAGCCACACCAGCCAGGACCACACTGTTCTTGGTTCTGTTGATTTTTGAACCAGTACTATTGAGTACCTGCCTGCCATGTGCTACTAACTTTGCCAGATATTAGAGATAAAAAATGGAGCTCCCTCTGCAAGGCAGGAAGTTGTTTGAAATTAATTTGACTGTAGTGTTCTTCCAGGCTGGTAGGGGAAAACAGACTGGACATGAGGTGAGACAGGTGGGCAAGGGACACTTCAGGAGATGCTGAACTAAACTAGTAGCATGGTAGTAGGAGGAGGGAAGAAATACAAGAGATATTTAGGAAAGCCCTGGCCAGTTTGGCTCAGCGGTTAGAGTGTCGGCCTGCGGTCTGGAGAGACCCGGGTTCGGTTCCCGCTAAGGGCACGTACTTCGGTTGCAGTTTGTCCCCGGCCCTGGTTGGTTGTGCGGGTGGCAGCCACTCGATGTGTCCCTTCACGTCAATGTTTCTCTCTCTCTCTCTCTCTTCCTCTCTCTCCCTCCCACTCTATCTGTACAAAAAATGGAAAAATATCCTCGGGTGAGGATAAAAAAAAAAAAAAAAGAGAGATATTTAGGGAATAAAATGGATTACACTTGGAAACTAATTGGATATGGGATAACCAATTTCTTGCTTGAGTAAAAATGGATGTTGGGAAAGACATGAGGTTGGTTTGGGTCATGTTACGTTTGAGATAGCATTGTGGTGTTCACATGAGCTGTTAATTTTACCCATCTGGAGTGTACACAAAAAATGTGGGCTGTTTATAAAAAATATAATTATTTGAGAATTACCGATATTTGGAGCTTGACATTTTGAGAACAAGTCAATTATGTTGTAGAATGTTCCTCATATGGGTTTGTTTTACTCTCCCTCCTGATTAAATTCTGGTTGTGCATCGTTGATGGGAACACCACAGAGGTAATGTGTTTGTCTTAGCACATCATATTAAAGAGGCATATACTGTCCTAGTGGTGGTGATTTTAACTTCAATCACTTCATGTATCTGCCACTTTTCTCCACTGTGTTTGTACTATTTTTTCCCTTATAATTAGGAAGTATCTTGTGGGAAGATACTTCGAGACTATATACATCCTATTCTTCATCAAATTTTTACCTAGCTCGCCCTGGTCAGTTTGGCTCAGCGGTTAGAACATCGGCCTGTGGTCTGGAGAGACCTGGGTTCAGTTCCCGCTAGGGGCGCATACCTCGGTTGCAGTTTGTCCCTGGCCCTGGTTGGTCATGTGGGTGGCAGCCACTTGATGTGTCCCTTTCGCGTCGCTGTTTCTCTCTCTCACTTGTCCTCTCTCTCCCTCCCACTCTATCTGAACAAAAAAATGGAAAAATGTCCTCGAGTGAGGATAAAAAAAAAATTTTTTTACCTAGCTCTTCTAGTATCAATTGATCATTTTTGCCAGAATCCAACATTAATCTGATGGTTGCAAAGTAGTGATTTTTCTGTCATTTCTTTCCTTATTCATTAGATGACATTATACTGTAAAGAGAGCTTTTCTTTTTCCTTATTTTTGTGTTATCTGCACAGAAGCATGGATTCTTAGTTTATGCAATGAGTTGAAATCTGTTACTATTATTACTTATTTTGAGGCTCACATTTTCCAAGATCTGGCCAACAGAAACTTCAAGCTAGCTCCCGTGTTGTTTGACACTGTATTTTGCAGTACTTCCTACCTTCTTCCACAAGCTGTTCCAGCCATGTCATGTACTTCCCTGGTCCAACTCAGGAATCAGCCATTTCTCCAAGGAGCATCCACATGTACAAGTCCATTCTCTTCATATGCACAGACACGTATATAGCATACACTCAGTTTACCTATGAATCCTATTTATACCTCCAGTTCTGGTTCAGCCTCACACAGTTCCTAACCTTTGTCTAGTGAGAAACCTAGAAACCAGAATCCTCAGTATTTTGCTAAATATGCTCAATGTACAAAACATATTTACAGAATTCTTGTTCCATGTCACTGTCAAAATCAGTCCTAGTAACAGAATTCAATATTTGTGTATAGTTCTTTATGCCTTTAGAACAGGGATAGTTCAAAGTTCCTTTACTGTGTGGTTATTGTATCTTGTTCATTTGATTTTTTTTTTTTTTAATTTAAGTCTATCCAAAGTCCAGAGAATAGTATAATGAACCCTGGTGAACCTATACCAGCTTGAATGCTTAATACACAGGCAGTCTGATTTCATTTTCTCTTCCCACTCACTGTCCACCTCGCCTCAGATTATTTTGAAGCAGAGAAGAATTTTTGTTAAGATAAGATTTGAGCTTTTATTTATTTATTTATTTTTAATCCTCACCTGAGGATATTTTTCCATTTATCCTCAGATAGAGAGGGAAGGAGGAGGGAGAGAGAGAAATATTGACATGAGAGGGACACATCAACTGATTGCCTCCCACGTGATCCAGACTAGGGCCGGGACAACCCACAACTGAGGTGCATGCCCTCTACTGGAATCGAACCTATGACTCATTGGTCCACGGGCCAACCTTCTAATCACTGAGCCAGACCAGCCAGGGCAAGATTTGAGCTTTTAAATAACTTACTGTAATGTAGCTTTAATCTTTAAAAAGCCTTTTTCTTACCCTTTTATATTTAGTGTTCAATAAGCTAAAAGTGGACTATTACTGTTTATCTTTGTATAGCATCAAATAGTAAATATAGATCTTATGCTGGAAATGTCAACCTCTCTGGCAGCGGTAACCCCCATCATTGAAAGAGAAAGCGGAGGACACCATTACGCTACTATGACGTTGCCAGTTGATGCAGTTTTATCTGTTGCTCCCGAGGAATCATGGGGAAAGTAGGTATTTTATCGTCCTCCTGCCCCACTTCAGTGAGGATCCTGCCCTAGAGTAACCAGAGTCCACGTCAAAGTATCATATAGGCATATCCAGGGTGCTGGTTGTGGTTTTGAGTATGATTTACTCCCTGTTTTGTATTAAGCGAAGAGTCATCTACTACTTAGATGTTTATTTGGAGGAAGTGGGGTTGTCTGCAAAACCTAGATATAGGATTTTCCCTTTATCTACACAGAGGAACCAGAGTTTATTTAACTTTTTATAATTTAGACTTCCTTTAATAAACATGGCCAAGTACATTTTTTTTAAATATACTACATTAGGGATATATTAACTCCATGCTTATTTATCATTTATCATAGCCACTATAACTTCTGTTAATGCATTTGTATATTTTCCCCCCACAGAGTTCGTAAACTTCTAGTTGACGCAATTCACAATCAGCTAACTGATATGGAAAAGTGTATTTTGAAATATATGAAGGGAACATCCATTGTGGTTCCTGAACCATTGCACTTTTTATTACCAGGGGAGAAAAATCTTGTAACAATTTTATATCCATCAGGAATTCCAGATGGGCAGCTGCAGGCCTACAGAAAGGTAAGACCAAGGCATGTATTCTCAGAAAAAATACGACTGTCATTCATTTTATATTTAATTACATATTTCTAATAAATGGAAATTATTTTATGATTTAATTTAAAGTGTGAAAAAAGACTATTAGTTTTATATATTATTTAATTTCTGTTCTCATGGAACTTCTTTTTTAAGTATTATGAGTGAAAAAATATGTGAAATCCATATGTAACATTTTAATTCTGTATGCCCAATGTGACTCATATGTTCTAGGAAATTTTTCTTTTCCATAATGAAATAAAGAACTAAAAGGTTGCTTACATACTTAGCAAAGCTGATGGGTGTTAATAAATTCCTTTTCCCTTTCATTACTTTCAGATTTGTGAAAGAGACAAGATTACAGTTAGGGAAGGGAAATTAGCATTTATGCTAATACTAATTAGGATTTATACTAATACTCTATCCCCCATTTCTAAGACTTATTTGGGTTTTATTAGAGGCGTTTGAAGAAAACATGATCAGCACTCAAAGAAATGAGATTTACTGGCAAAATAACTGGTTTTACAGCACGTATTTTTTATGTGTGGCCTTGCCTGGCACCCATCAAAGTATTCCAAGGGAGTATCTTCCTAACCTCTGTCCCTGAGAGGAGGTATAATATTGTAACCTTCTGTATGTCTCAGTGTTACATGAATTGATGTGTAGAGGCGACAGCTGCATGAGCTGATGATGATCCCGTTCAAACTGCTGGGGTACACAGGAGATGAAAAAGAAAAGTCGGACTTTCCAAAGTAACTATACATGTTTTATACAACTGGGAATATTTTTTGCATTCTAGACATGTGTATTTTTATTTCATTGCTAAATTGGTTGGTTTCATACCACCAATTTCTACTCTGAAACTGAATTACTACCCCTTATACTTGTTGAGTACTCTAAGCATGGTTTTTAAAAATACTTTAAAATAATTATATCATTGTTAGTGATAATTATTTACAAGGCTATTTCAGAACCAGTCTTTATCCTGGATGTATTTAAACAGACTGTGTTATAATAGATAATTAATTTTAAATGATCTCAGTTCTCTCATGCTTAACAAATTATTTTCATTTTTCTGTGTTCCCTTCCAGTTTCTACCCATATACATAGATAAGGAAAAATAAATCTTGTTTGGTTTTAGTTTATTCTCACCCTTTTTGACCTTAGTGAATTAAATCATAAGTATGTTTGATAACTTTTACAACCAATATACAGTTAATTTTCTGTTTTATATCTTTAGTTTGAGTTTATTTATTGAGTAGAAATTTAAATCATTTAACTTTTTTTCCTTTTCTTTCTATTGATTCTGGTTTCATTTAGGAGTTACATGATCTCTTCACTCTGCCTCATGACAGACCTTATTTTAAAAGGTCGAATGCTTATCACTTTCCAGATGAACCATACAAAGATGGTTACATTAGAAATCCACATACTTATCTCAATCCACCCAACATCGAGACTGGTATGGTGAGTTTAATCATTATTTATGGGAGCCAATTGATCATTAATGACATTCGTTTTTTGTTTGTACCCAGTGGAATTTTTAAGAATTGATTCATAATGTATGCCATCCCTAAAACATAATTTACCATTCATTTCTTTAAATAATCAATTGCTTATGATAGCAGTGATTCACAATGGTCTAAAAAGATTAGGACTAGATAGTATGTACCACATTTCTCTTACTAAAATTCCATTCCTTAATTTCTGTAAAGGCTTATCCCATTTCATTTTTATTCTGAACCTGAGAAATCATGCTAATGAAGGGCATAGTCTACCCAAACCACGCTGTAGCAGAAGTCTAAGAAGGTACTACAATGTGTTTTCTGTGCAGTGTGTACCTGTGGTAGAGGGTGAATCCTCACTAAAGGTTACTGAAATAAGGAGTATGGGGAAGGGTTCCTTTAAGGATACATGTAGGCCAGTTAGAAAGGTCTTGTGACATCCGAGAACAGCAGTATCTGTACAGCTGGCCTCTGGGAACAAGCAGCTGCGCAGTCTCAGGCCCACCCTGACTCCTGGATGGCCTTGTGCAGCTCTGCCTGCTTCTGACCCTCCCTTGCCTGCTCCTTCCCTCTCCCCTGTCTTTTCTCAGCCTCGGAGCTGCTTCCTCACTGTTGCCACTAGTGTAAACGTTTCCTCTTCTGCCTCATAGCTGCTCATTGCATGCATTGTTTTGGCTTCACTCCCTGCTCTTTCTGTCCCATTGACTCTGCACCTTCAAAATCCCAAGACAGGAAACTCAACTGGCCATCTTGTCATGGTATTTATTAAGTACCTGCTGAGTGTCCAGGTGCTTTGTAAGGAAATAAGAAGTAATGATGAATATATTATACAGTGTCTGCCCTGGAGGAGTTAGGGGCCTACTGCTGGTCCTGGCCACCAGAGGGCGCTTGGGACAGCAGTTCCACTCCCAAGAGCTGTGGGCGGACCGGCTTCCCCTAGAAAGACTAGGCTGGGCACTCACTATCACTTGTATGCAAATGCGTCTTTTGTCAACATTTCAGTGATGCTAAGTGATTTCATTTATTTTGCTTATATAGGAGGAAATCTTGAAAGACCTATTTCTAGTTAAAAATCTTGCTCTGTCACAGTCATTGATTGACAGAATAGGAAATACAAAACTAAGAGTTTTAATCAATATAACTCTTGATGGTTTTCTAGTAGATTAATATATAAATGTTTTCTCTCTGACTATATTGCAACTCTGCTAGGGTAGATATTGTTATCATATGTTATAATTATTTTTTTAAATATGTTTTCATTGATTTTTGAGAGAGAGAGGAAGGGAGAGAGAGAGAAACATTGATATGAGAGAGAAACATCACTCGGCTGCCTCCTGCATGCCCCCTGCTGGGGATCGAATGTCCCAACTGGGAATCAAACCTGGACCTCTCAGTCCATGGGATGATGCTCAATCCACTGAGCCACATCGGCTGGGCTATTTTAATTCTTAATAGTTCCTTACAAAGTGTCAGACACCCAGAAGGTAATGAATAAATGTTGATTGATTTTTTACAATGAAATGGGTTCATTATACATGAAACATTTATATAGTTTTAAATATTTATTTTATAACATTTGATATGTACATATAGTATATATGTAAATTGCAAAGCATGGTAAGGAAATGAATACCGGAGAGTTCCCTACCCAGTTTAAGAACTAGAACATTACCAGTCTGTATGTTCCTTATCCACTCCACCTCTGCCCCCCAAAGGAACTATTATACTGAGTTTTATGTTCATCATTTGCTTTCTTTTAATAGTTTATGTATATGTAGATATTTCCTCAATGTAGCTTTTAGTTTTGCTTGATTCTGAGTTCTTATAAAGTGTCATTGTATAGGTGGTCTTCTACAACTTGCTTTTTCATTCAATATTATGTGTCTAAGATGAATCCATAGTATTGTGTCTTATTCAGTTATCTTTATTGCTTTGTGATATACCTTTGTATGATTTTTTCAAGGTTTTTTCTATTTAGACAACCCTGCGACAATCATTCCTGTACATGTTTCTTGATACATATGTTCAGGAATTGTCAACATATTACTTCCTTTGCTTCATTTCTCCTTTTTTTCCTCCTCTTGGGTCATTTCAAAGAAAATAACAGCAGCATGACATTTGACCCAAAATACTTCAGCACAACTCTCTAAACAAAAGTAGGTTTGCATTCATGGGATAAACCTAGTTTGGTTATAATTCATTATTATATTTTATTCTCTACTGCATTTAGTTTGCTAATATTTTAAGATTTTTGCTTCTATCTTCATGAATATTGGTTTATAATTTTCTTTTCTCATACTGTTATTTTGTTTTTGTATCAATGTTCTAGCAAATTGAAAGAGTTGAGGAGCTTACCTTCTTTTCTTAATTTTCTAGAGGAGTTTATATAAGATTGGCGTGATCTTTTCTTGATTCTTTGGTAAAACTCACCTGTAAAACAATCTGGCCTTAGTATTTCTGTGTGGGAAGATTTTTTACAACAGATTGATTTTGTTAATGGTTTATACAACTTTTCCATTTTTATAAGTTATATTCATCTAGGTTTTAATCTTTGTTGTAGTGTTTTTCTTTTTAATCTTCATTTCATTTTTATGCCCTTTTAAAAAACTTCTGGCTTTGTTGACCCCTTTTCTTGTAATTTTTCTATTCTAGCTCATTAATTTCTGTTCTTTGCTTTCTTCTTCCTTCACTTTCTTTGATTTAGTTTTTCTTCTAACTTCTTGAGTTGGACACTTAGCTTACTGTTAGTCTTCCTTAGTTTCTAATTTAAATTTCAATCAAAACACTGCTTTTACAGGTTTTAATTTGAATGTTTTAGTTTTATTTATTTCTAATATCTTTATATTATCATTGAGTTTTTAAATCCATTTTTTATTTATAAGTGTTTTTTAATGTCCAGATATATCAGAAATTATCAATTTAGTTAGTTACATAGTTATTTTTACTGATTTCTGACCCTTACCTACTGGTCAGAAACAACTTCTGTGTGATACAGACTCTAAAATGTATTGAGACATATTTATTTCCTACAAATGCTATAACAACCACAAATCTGATGGCTTACAGGAGTGGGGAATATCTGGCCCGTGGGCCATATAAGGCCCTTGAAATCAATACCAACTAACATCATACGCCTCACCATGTTAGCCTGACCAAATATAGCAGGCTGATTTTCAAGTTGATAATTTTATATGGCCCGTGAATGATGTTATAAATATCCAACAGCCCTTGGCCAAAAGAAAGGTTCTACAGAGGTGTGTTCTCTCCCAGGTCTGAAGTCGGTATCACTGGGTGAAGTCAAGGTTTCAGCAGAGCCTCACTCCCGCAAAGGCTCCTGGGGAGAGGCCCCTTCCAGCTTCTGGTGGCTGCCAGAATTCCTTGGCTTCTGGCCACATCGCTCCAGCAGCTACCTCAGTGTCACGTTGCCTTCTCCTCTGTCAAGCTTCCTTCTGTCTCTCTCTCATAAGGATACTAATGGTTGCATTTAGGGCCCACCTGGATATTCCAGGAAACTCTCCCCATCTTAAGAACCTTAAATTTCATCACATCTGCAAAGACTGTAATGTAGCATCTTCAGGTTCCAAGGATTAGAATGCAGGTATCTTTTGGGGTCCATTTTTCAGCCTACCCACAATGGTCCAGTTATAAATTTTCTGTGTGCTTGAATAAATATCTCCCAGTTGTTGAGTAAGGATTCTATATTTGTCTATGACTCTTTTTACCTAATTTAAAAAAATAATAAAAATGCCAGTTTGTTAAAAAAAAAAAGTGGGGGGGGGTGTGTATTTTTAGCATTATACCACAAGAAAGAATTAACATGATATTGGCCCTAATTTAGGGATCTTTAAACAGCATACCTGCCCTGGCCAGTTTGGCTCAGCGGTTAGAGCGTCGGCCTGCGGTCCTGAGAGACCCGGGTTCGGTTCCCGCTAAGGGCGCGTGCCTCGGCTACAGTTTGTCCCCGGCCCTGGTCGGTTGTGCGGGTGGCAGCCACTCGATGTGTTCCTTTCACATCGATGTTCCTCTCTCTCCCTCCCACTCTACCTGAACAAAAAATGGAAAAATGTCCTCGGGTGAGGATAAAAAAACAAAACAAAACAAAAAAATAATAAAAAAATAAACAGCATACCTGGGCTGTAATCATTGGTAGGCTTATAGAATTTCATAAACATTCTTCATATGTCTTATTATATGGACCATTCATTTGTTCATTCCTTTATTCCTTCATTCTTTCATCATGTATTCAACAAATATTTATTAACTGTTTACCTAGCCCCTTATAGAGTCTTGAGCTCAGAAGTAAATAGGACACAGTGCATGTCCCTATTGAACTCAAATATTAGTGTGAGTAGGCAGATAGTTTTAAAAACATAATAAGCAATGTGTCAAATAGTGGTGTTTTAAAAAATAAATAAAGCAGGCTAGAGAGTGACAGGCAGGGCAGGGGTAGGTGGTGAGGGAGTGAACAGGCCACTTTTAGGTTGGATGATCGGGGAAGGCCTCTGACATTTGCAGAGACCCGAGTGAAGTAAGGGTGTGAGCTCTAAAATTATCTGGGGAACGTATTCCAGCAGAGAGAGCCACAAGGCGGTGATATCAGATTGCTGGCACATCTGAACTTAAAGCAGAGCGAGCAACAGGGGACGTGGTAGGAGATGAAGTTGGGGAGGAAGCCAGCAAGCAGGACTTGCCAAACCTTATAGCCTTTGGTCAGGTCTTGGGACATTTAATAAAAAGCCAAGAGGTATATAATGTTCAACTGTAGTTCTCTGAAAGCACTTTCATAAGGAACTAAAGTAACAGTCTAGCTCTGAATACTGTAAACATGACTCAGGAATATGTATAGAATGTGTACATATAGCTTAATATTTTACTGTATTCCTTCTTTTTATATAGTTTATGTGGTCCAGGGTATATACGGTTATCATCATTACATGCAGGATCGGACAGATGACAATGGCTGGGGCTGTGCATATCGATCTCTGCAGACCATCTGCTCTTGGTTCAAACACCAGGGATACACAGAGAGGTCCATTCCCACACACAGAGAAATCCAGCAGGTACAGAACATGCCATTTTAAATGATGGTCGAGCGTACGTTCCATTAGCCCTTAATATACCATTAATAATTATTAACTCGTGCTACAGACTTATTTCTATTTTGAAAGGGAAAAAATCCTAGTAGTCAGGAAAAATGCCCTAAATATAATTTTTAATAGCTATCTTGTATATGAATTTTTTTGTATTTTCAACACAAAAAGGCTCTAGTTGATGCCGGAGACAAACCAGCAACATTTGTGGGATCACGGCAGTGGATTGGGTCTATCGAGGTACAGCTGGTACTGAACCAACTGATTGGCATAACTTCAAAAATACTGTTTGTCAGGTAAGGACACTAAGAAAGTAGAGACATCATTTCAAAGCCAGATTGTCATTTTATTAAAATAATAGAAAAAGTATACCTTTCCCCGTATTTGTTTTCACTCCTTTCTCTTCCTCCACATTGCCTCATTGCTTTATAAATCTCATTTTTTAACCCTGCATTTTTTTAAGTTAATTTTTAGAAGACTTTGGAGTTTATAATCTATAATACATACTTATATGGTTGAGGCCTAATGTTAGCCAAGAAGAGAAAAATTTGCATGTTTGTCAACTTTGAGTATAGTTAAAGAAAATCAAGTTTTTTAAAAAATATTTTTCTTTATTGATTTGAGAGAGAGAGGAAGGGAGAGAGGGAGAGAGAAAGATAGAAACATGGATGAGAGAGAACATCAGTCGGCCGCCTCCTGCACGCCCCCCACTGGGGATCGGGCCCACAACCTGGGCATGTGCCCTGACTGGGAATCGAACCAGCAACCGGGCAGGCGAAAATCAAGTTTTTTATGCTCAAGTCTTTAAAAATTCTTGAGAGGAGAAACAGATGTTGATCTACAACTGACCTCTTTGTTTACCTCTTACACTGTTTCTTCTTAAGGTGTTAATAAACTAATAATGTGTCTGAATAATGTAGTCCTTTTATTGTTTCCAATATAGCTTAACCATAATTAAGCTATGAGCAAATCTAAATTAAATAAAATTGATTTCTGGGACCATAACTAGCTTCTTCCTTTTATGAGGTATATTTTAAGTACATTTTCTATTATGACAACCTTGGTAAATACAGTAACATTATCCTTATTTGGCCTAGTACTTTAACATATCCAGTTTCACGATTGCAGTCTGGGTTGGCTGTGGAAATCAGTGTTAACGAATAAATGATAAAGTAGTGAAGCATCTGGTGATTAAAAAGTGGAAGTGTTGGCACATTAGAACAGTAACATCCCTTACTAAGCGAGAGCTAAGGTTTAACACCACCTGGCACCTCCATTCTTTTTCTTTTTTTTTTTGTGGTACATGCCCCTAGTGGGAACCGAACCCAGGACTCTCTGGTCCGCAGGCCGACACTCAACCACTGAGCCAAACTGGCCAGGGCGGCACCTCCATTCTTAAAAAAAATCTCCATCTGTCTGTCTGTCTGTCTTTGTTTTCTCAACAGTACAAATTGAATAGAATATTGAAATACTCCCTAAAAATAATACGTTGTCACCCTGGCCGGGTAGTAAAGTTGGTTAGAGCATCATCCCGATACACCAAGGTTGCAGGTTTGATCCCTGGTCAGGGCACATACAAGAAGCAGCCAATGAATGCATAAATAAGTGGAACAACAAATCGATGTTTCTCTCCGTCTCTCTCCTTCTCTGCCTCCATTCTTCCCCCTCCCTTCCTCTCTCTTTAAAATCAATAAAAATAGTATGTTATACTTGAACATATTTTGTACTTTTCACGTTGGCTTCACGGACATTGTCTGTTTTGGTCCTGGACTCTCTTGTCATGTAGACAGGGCAGGTTTCATTGGTCCCAATTTAAAGATGAAATACAGACTCAGAGTCTGACAGCAAGAAGACAAGACCCAGAACTTACAACTGATTCTTCTGAATTAAATCCACCTGCAAGAGTCCCCTGGGTTTCAAGATGACCGCTTCTAATCTCACATTAAAAATCCAGACCTCTGCAGTTCCAGAAGTGAAGAATCAAGGTGGTTTTGCTTTTCTAGCATAGTTAGTGGTCTTAGTTAAACATTTAGAAAGGTTGTACCGCTTTAATTTGCTCACAGTTCCTTACCACTTAGTTGTATTTAAATTCATACTTAACCAAATTTAACCAAAAAAGGAAACAAAAATGTAGAAAAGATTGGTTCCTAAGTTCATTTATATGACCTTTGTGTTAGAAATGATTCCTCTAATGGAAATGTTTTCTCTCCAGCCAGGGTTCGGAAATGGCTTCTCAGGGACGGGCACTGGCTCATCACTTCCAGAGTGAAGGGACTCCGGTAATGATCGGTATGGTTTCAGCTTCCCGGGCCCCTTCGGCAGAGTGCAGAGCGTAAACTTCCACGAGTATAAATATTCCATGTCACAAAAATCAGTCATTTTAAGATTACCTTTTGCACCATATAGCTGACCTCGGCATATTTATTTTAAAATGTGCAAGGCAAAAGGAAAGTTATTTAAAAAAAAAAAAGATTATAATAACCAGAAGAAAAGGCTAAGAAAAGAAATGTCAACTGTGTTCATATAGTTAAAGACATTGAAAGCAGATGGGAAAAGAGGCGACGGTCACTCCCTGAGCACCGTAGACCATGGCTGTCACGAACTTGGCTGGCGCTGTTACGTTATTGCAGATTGCTTAATCTCTGGGCTTTATGTGTGAAATGAAGGAGTGGGATTAGCTGATCTGAAGATTCGTGATTCTATAGGGAACAAGATTTACCTGTGTTGACAGAGGAAAGCTAAGAGTGTGTAAGGAGTGGAGGCTGGCCGGTTTCAGCAGAGTATCGGAGAGCCCCGAACCAGGGGTAGTTCACGGAGCTGCTCAGGCGGAGGCGGCCCTCCCTCCCTCTGCTGAGTGGGCCGCAGCAGGGCCTGCTCTGTGGGAGGAGTTTAGACCCTCGACGGCCCTTTCTGAATGCAGTTTAGGTAATTCTCTGGACATGGCAGTGGAATATAAACCTTACATGATTATAGATATAATTGTATCTTTCTGTCTTAAAGATGTAATTTTATCTTTTCAGAGTATATTTGACATTTTCATCTTTTACAGTATAAGCTAGTCATTTTTAATGCTGTTAGATCATTTCATAGGCAAAATAATCTTTTTAAATTGAATAGGAAGTTGAGGTTAACATGCCCTCTCACATTTCCCATTTCCTCTTCCCTAGGGGGAGGAGTTTTGGCCCACACAATACTGGGAGTTGCATGGAATGAGATTACAGGGCAGATAAAATTTCTGATTTTAGATCCACATTATACAGGCGCTGAAGATCTGCAGGTTATTTTGGAAAAAGTAAGTATCTGTTTAACACAAATTTAGACAAGACAAAGAAACCAGAATCAAAAGGATAATAAACTGGCTGTTAACAGGACAGATAGACTGAGGGCAACATCCTCATTATAAAGAAGTATCTAGGGCTGTGATGAGTATCTCTAGTTAAGGAGGATAAGAGGGAAATAAAATAAATTGCAAAATAAAAGAGTTTAGGTTAGATTCATAAAGATTTTCTGTTATTGAACTTAATAATGGAGCACAAAGCTCAAATATAGTCCTTTGGAAATTTCAGCTTTGTATAAACAAAGGTATTGAGGCTTATCAATGCCTTGAGGTAGAAGAGTAGAGTATGTAACCTTCAGAATTTTAGAATTAACCAAAAATAGCTAAGCAGTATGCTGGACATTGTGGAGGCTTGAATAGTTTTAAGTTATTTACATTAACTTAATCTCCTGTTAAAATGGATCTGAATAGAATGACAGATTTGCTCTATTAGTGCATATAAGAAGCCATGAAGCCAAGGCCTGGCCATCATAGAACGACCAGCTCTTACTTAAGAATCAAGGCATTGTCCTAGTCCGTTCGGGCTGCTATAACACCACCGTAGACTCGGTGACTTATGATAACAGACATTTGTTTCTCAGTTCTGGGGGCTGGTTAGTCCCAGATCGAGGCGCCAGCAGATTTTCTGTCTGGTGAGGCCCACTTCCTAGTTCCCAGGCGGCCGTCTTTTCACCGTGTGGTCACATGTTGGGAGGGATGAGGGACCTTTCTGGGGCCTCCTTGATAAGGACACTAATCCCATTCATGAGGGCTTCACCTCCATAATCTAGTCACCTCCCAAAGGCTCTGCCTCCAGACATCATCACATTGGGGATTAGGTTTCAGCCTGTGAACTCTGAGGGGACACCCACATTCAGCCTAAAGCAGGGGCCATAGGGAAGGTCGGCCTCTTCACCCTCTGGGGGAGCTTTCCTGTTTGACATCCCCGGGCCAGTCACTCGAAGGAAAGAGCATGGCTCCCCGTCCCCTCCCATCAGTTTCTGGTTTTGGCACCCTCCCTACCCACTTCCCTTAAAAAAAAAAAAAAAAAAAGAGGCCCTGGCCGGTTTGGCTCAGCGGTTAGAGCGTCGGCCTGCGGTCCGGAGAGACCCGGGTTCGGTTCCCGCTAAGGGCACGTACCTCGGTTGCAGTTTGTCCCCGGCCCTGGTTGGTCGTGCGGGTGGCAGCCACTCGATGTGTCCCTTCCACATTGATGTTTCCCTCTCTCTCCCTCCCACTCTATCTGTACAAAAAAATGGAAAAATGTCCTCGGGTGAGGATAAAAAAAAAAAAAGAGTCTGGTTTCCTGGAGAAGGGCCACATCCACATGTGTAAAAGGATCACAAAAAGATTAGAGATTTCATCAACCTTTCTGTCTATTTATCATTAAGATAACAGATTTTAGGACATTAAAATTATTAGAGAAAGTTTTGCTTAAAATAGATAATTTTTTAAAAAGCTTGCTTATGTATAGAAACAGGTCTCAAACACAAACCAAATTTAACAGGAGCAGGGGCAGTAGGACTGAATGGGCAGGCTGTTTTTTACTTTTATCTCCTTTGAATTTTCACAACATGTATCTTATTTTTGCAATCAGAGAAGGACAAAATTAAAGAGCATCTCTACTCAACCCTCCGGCCTCCACACTACACAATAGAGCTAACACACTGTCTTCTGCAGGAGGCCTGCACTCGGACTTGATGCCCCCGACAGTGCCCGGCAGCATCCGTTAGTTAGGGTGGGGTGAGACTGCTAGGAAACAGGCTGCCGGTTCAGCTGTCCCACGCCCGCCTGCCAGAACGGGAGAACTGTGCCTCTGAGAATCAATGAAGTGGGGAATTTGGAGTAATAATTATGATAAGGAAGCTTTTTTTTTTAATGGTTTCTGACTAAATACTATAGAATTAAATTTTTTTTAGTTGTATCTGAAATGAACCCAAATAAATTACTTCTCTATGCTTTATATGAATTTGAATCTTTGAATTCTATACTTATTCTAAGATCCTGCTGACAGAGCAGAATGGTAAAATATTACAGTTTTGACACTGTAGTCCTATAGCTTTGTAAAGTCTTTTCCTTTTCTTTTCCCAACTCTAGGGCTGGTGTGGATGGAAGGGCCCAGACTTCTGGAACAAAGATGCCTACTATAACTTATGTCTTCCTCAGCGGCCAAATATTATTTAAAATATCTTAGACTCGTCTGGCCAGTGTGGCTCAGTGGTTGGGCGTCGACCAGTGCACCAAGAGGTCACCAGTTCGATCCCCAGTCAGGACACAGGCCCAGGTTGTGGGCCCAATCCCTAGTGGGGGGCATGCAGGAGGCAGCCAATCAATGTTCTCTCTCATCGATGTTTCTATCTCTCCCTCTCCCTTCCTCTCTCTAAACTCAATAAAGGAAAAAAAATTAAAAACAACAAAAAGAAATGAAAGAGTTCTATTTAAAAAAATAATAGATAAAATATCTTAGACTCAAAGACTGTAGTAAAGTTGATTATAAATTTGTTAATTAAAAAAATAAGTTTAATTTCAAATTAAATCCTGGGTGTAGTTTGATGGTTTAACCTTGATTTTTTCCAAAGGTTGTAAATACTGCACACACAAAAGAGTTATTCTTTAGACATTCCTCTAATAACTTAAAAGACAAAGAATGCACAACCAAAATTTGTAGGCATGTAAATACATGTATTCATGTTATCTTCCCTTAGAAGAAAGTTCTCCTTCTTAGAAGGCGTTTAGACACATCTGACCAGCCGAAAGCTGTGGCTTGTAGCTGAGCAGTAGGTTTGCACCAAGTGGGGCCTCTTCACACTTCTTCATAACCAATAAGACATCTGTTGTTAAAAAAACATTAACATTAAAAACTTTTTTTGACAAGGTTATCTCCCCAACCTTCCACTGTGCAGGACAATCTTTGGATTCTAGACTCTACTAGTAGTTACTCTAACCAGTCTTAAAATGTGTTCATGAGGATGAAAAAGATGTATTAGATATAAGACTGCAGATATTTAAATGAAACAAATTCTGTGCCAAATAAGAGAACCTTGAGGGAGGAAGAAAGAAGAAGCTATGAGTTAACTTACTTCCTTTTCCCGCTTGTGTTTTCTGCACTTCCAAAGCTTCGTTTCTGTCTGAGCACTGGAACACAATGCTCCCTACTGGATTGTTCACTTGATTGTGTTGTCTGCATACATTTAATTGCTGTAAGAAACTTGGCACATTCCGGAAATCCACATGACCAAGCAAGATCTTCAGCTGTCTGCCCATTCTTATTACATAAACTGAATTTAAAATAAAAATCGAGTTAAATGAAAACTGACCATTGTTTAGCCTTTTTATTTATGATTATATATACAATCTTCCTAACAAAGGAACTTTGGGCTCATACAAATGTTGGTCGCAGAATAGTATAGGTAAAGGAAGCATAGAGAAATTCCCTTTTTGCTCACTGTGGTATCCTCAGTGGCTAGCGGAATCAAGCACAGAATGGGCATTTCAGTTTTGAATGAATAAAAGAGTATTCTGTGTTCAATACAATGACCAAGTACCCAAGAAAGTCAATAAGAATTTGTATAGAATGGATTTCCTAAACCAAAACCAAGGTGTAACTATTGCCATCACAGAAGAATAAAGTTAAACTCTGCTCAGGATCCACTTTTTACTTCTTCAACTTGAATAGTATCAGATATTAACAGCCTGAGTTAACATTTAAATGATAACACTAAATTACCAATTAGGCAAGCATCCTTTTTTTTTTTTAATTCTCACCCAAGGACATTTTTGCATTTGTTTTCAGATAGAGCAGGAGAGAGGGGGGAAGAGAGAGAAATATCGATGTGAGAGAGACATACATCGAGTGGTTGCCACCCACACAACCCGAACCAGGGCCAGGGATAAACTGCAACCGAGGTTTGTGCCCGTAGCAGGAACCGAACCCGGGATTCTCCAGTCCGCGGGCCACTACTCTAACCACTGAGCAAACTGGCCAGGATGCAACATCCTTTTTAAAGCACATGTAATTGAGCTTCAGAAGTCTGATTAGTTTAAACCAATATAAAGCCACCAAGTTTAATACTTACTCAATTTTGGCATCACTGGCTACAAGCAGGCTAAGGCATTCCAGGCTTCCCACTTTAGCTGCTTTGTGGAGTGGAGCTTCTCCAAAAACATCCTTAAATATAAGACAACACATTTTGGTCTCTCTCCAAAACACTTTCTTATGGAAGTTGGTGGGTGAAGTCTAATTATTGTTTGAGGAAGCTAGTTGGACCTGCATTGTAATGGGTTGAATTTTTTTTTTTAATCCTCATCCGAGGATATTTTTCTATTTATCTTCAGATAAAAGTGGGAGGGAGAGAGAGAAACATCCACGTGAAAGGGTCACATTGACTGGTTGCCTCCTGCACGACTCCAACCAGGGCCTGGGACGAACCCCAACAGAGGTACGTGCCCTTGGCCAGAATCGAACCCAAGACTCATTGGTTCACGGGCCGACGCTCTAACCACTGAGAAAAACTGGCCAGGGATTTTTATTTTTTATTTTATTTTATTAATGGGTTGAATTTTTTTAATTCGTTTTTTTTCTTTATAAGGTTCACTTGGTATGTTATTAAATGCAAAGTTTTATTAATAAAAATGTGTGCAGTCACAGCCACATACATGAAAATTTAAGTGAATAAAAGCAAAATAAAGTTCTACACAAGTAAAAGAAAAATACAGTTTAAAATTACCATACTTTAATATTCAATGGAAGCTACAGACTACCGTAAAACACTTCTGTAGAAAACTATAATGGTTGTGAGCATGCCTCACAAATGTTTCCACTGCTATACTGAGGTCTTTTATTCGATAGCAAAGTAACTGTTCCTTTTGAAATTGTAGACCTGTATATGCTGTTCAGTGTAGTAGCCAGTAGGCATATATATGACTAACACTTGAAATGTGGCTAGTCTGAACTGAAATATGCTTTAAATATAAAATACATACCGGTTTGAGAAGACATACGAAAAGAAAAAAGTAAAATATCAGTACTGTTTTATGTTAATTATATATTGAGATAATATTGTGGGTAAGTTGGTTTAAATTTCAGAATTAATTCCATGTTTCATTTTACTTCACTGATGTGGTTACTACAAAATTTTTAATTATGCATGTGTCTCGCATATTTCTATTGGACATCATTGTTATAGACATGTTTCTAACAACAGAACTGAGTACTTTGGTGTCTAAGAAATGTTTGTGTGGAGTAGGGTGGAGGGGAGGGTTGCACAAACAATCAGTTACCTAGTTACCTGTTGGTTGAGGTCCGCGCCGGTCTGCAGCTGCCAGAGAAGAAAGCAAGCACGGCCGCCACCTGCGGCCAAGTGGACAGGCGACTGCTCACAGGGATCCGGGGGTGCGTTGACCGAGGTCCCGGCCTCCAGCAGATGCTTCAGACTATCCTGCTATAGGAAGAAAACAGCTCGAGCACCCCTCTTGCCTTTGTCCAGTCCCACGTCCTCCTGGGGTTGAAAACCTTCCAACTCTAAAGAGGCAGCGCCCAGTGGTCAGCCCACTATCACATCGCCCTCGCCAGCGCTCCCAAGAAGACAGACATCTGGAAGCTTAAGCCTGCAGGACGAAGGGGGCCCGAGTCTCACCTCTGGGTTGCAATCAAGCAACAGCATTTTCCGCCTAAAGCAGAGGACGGGAGTCCTTGAGCGTGCAGAGCGGTGGGGCACTCGCTGCAGACGGGCAGATAAGAGTGCACAAGCCACCCAAGTGCGGGAGAATTTAAAGGTGGCCGGGGGAATGGGCGGGCCCCTCGCCGCCGCGCCCCGCTGTGGCCGCGGCCCAGCAGCCTAACCCTTGGCCGCACTGCCTAGCTCAGCCCTGCGGCTGCCGCACGTACACAAACACTGACACGTGCAATCCAGAACCGGGCGCAGCTGCTAGGAGGAGGGAGGAGGACGCTGCGCAAGCCCGCCAGCCGATTGGCCACCTGGATGCGCCAGGCCCGCCTACCTCGGGGCGGAGCCTAGGCCACCCAGTAGAGCCCCAGTACGCGTGCGCCGTGGAGGGCGGTCGCGCGGCGGTTGGTGTTCCGCGGTCTCCATGAGGCTCGCTGAGCCTGGCACGTCTCCTGCAGGCGGGCCCAGCCCTTCAGTCCCAGTGGAGACGTGGGAGTCGCGGGCGAAGGCTTTGGTTTCTGCTAGCGCGCACGTAACCAGGAAATCGCGAGCTATAAGCAGCAGCTGTGCGGCACCTCCTTTGGAAGCCGCTACGCGTGGTGCTGGCGCTGCGCCCCGCGCCCACGGCCCCCAGTGCCGGAGGAAGGAAGGAGAGTTCCTTAGGCCTCAGGTTCAAAATCGCCCCAGGCTCACCTCTGTCACCCGCACCCCGGACGGAAGGAAAAGGGGCGGGGGTGTAATGTGAGCTAAGGGGGTAGATTTAACCACACGACTGCCCTACCCCACCCCCCAAATTAAATGATTTCTCAAACCTGGCCCTTTTGCCCACGCTGGGAAATCCTGTAAAATGAGGCTCCCGTTGTAACGTGACCCCTCCTGGAGGCCGGGAAAGCGCGCTGCTGGACTTGTCCCCGGGGGAAAGAAAGGTGCAGGGTCCCAGCTATCGGACTGGGGGGTGGTCCTGGGGGGCGGGGCTGGGGGGCACAAAGGAGGAGGAAAGGTGATTGCCCCGACACTCGGGGACAGCTCGTGGATGAACGAAAGGACCAGGCCCTGGATGTTTATGACAATGGGCACTGCCCCATGGACAGCGCTGACCTATGTCTGAGCCGCTCAGGGAAGGGCGGGGTGGGCATTGTGGGGGGTGGGAATGGCTCTACTGATCATTTAAGTCATTCCTTTTAGTAAAACTTCCTGACTTCAAATTGTAGCCCTTGAACGCACATATAATTTCTCGATTTATCTTTTTTTTAGATTAATTTAACCAAAAACTAAAGCTCCAGCCATATTTCCTTTTCCTAAAAAAGCCTTGAGTGAGTCCCTTCTCTCTACCGATACCTTTGAGAGCAGGACTGAAAAATAGATACGTTTCTTATTATGCTTCTGCAGGACAAACTCATTGTCCTCTAAAGGTAAGTGCCCTTTTAGTTACACTTTTGGTTACAGTATATTGTTTATTTTGTAATAATAGCCATAAAATAATTTTTGCAATAATAAATTGCTATTGCTATACTGATGCACTGATCCAAAGGGTAGTTTTGAACATTTTTATTCATATGCATACTTGAACATAAATGTGGATATATATTTATGTTCAAGCACCTATATAGAACCAGGCTTCTATGTTCTGTATTTTTTATCTGTAAGCGAGTCACACTACCTTTTTAGTGATATTTAAAGAATGGCACTGCAAAGATATTTTTGTCAGGTGAGAACATGTGTCCATATTGCCAGTTTGCCTTCTCTCACGTTTATCAAGTAGGAAAGCACTTTTTAAAAAGCATATAATTAAGCTTCAGGGTTGCAAAGATGTTTATTTTCAGGAATTCCTAACTAATACAAGGTATTATCAGAGAAGTTAGAATTCTGAACATATGTACTGCAGTTAACATATAATGGGATATTTGTGTGAAGGTGCCTTCATATTACATCCTTTAAAACAAGATTAATTCTGTTCGGCATGCATTAAATCTGATCGTTGTTGTTAACTTCCTGTTACATATGTAAGTTTTACAAGGAAAGAATTCTGTGAGTAGTTTTTAAAGCTTTTCTCCCTTTAATCACTGTGTACTTGTCTATTGCTCACACTGTTCCAGGAAGAAAAAAAAAAGATTTATCTTATCTGGATATCTGGCTTACCCTTACTAATGAATCTAAGAGTTTTCTAAGAACTGATGAACAAAGCTATTGGAAAACAAATATAAACAGAATCAATACATTTGGAGGACAATATCTTACTGGCAAGTAACTGGAGTTTTTATTAAACATGTAACTGGTGGGATCAATTTTCTAAAGAGGAAGATGGTCTAAGATGCATATTCAGCAGGCACTCTGCTAAGCAGTGATAGTTGCGCTTAAGTTTATTTTGCTGGTAAATGTTTCCAGAAGAAGGATGTCATTTAGAGTGAGAGCTTAAAAGAATATATATTGAATGATGACTAAGTGACCAAATGAATGAATGATATGTGGACTGAGCCTTGAAGGCTGAGTAAGCATTTGCTAGGTAGGCCAGGAAAGTCAAAGGGAAATAGAATTCAACCTAAAAGAGTTACCAGTGGCCAAAGCAACTTCACCAACACAGTAATGTACTGTTGGATTATAATTCAATAAAATAGATACCCATAAGTCCATACTGATATAAATGATTGAATAAATTTAAAAATGAGAGAGAGAAGATGGCGGCGTAAACGCGGTCCTTGCCTCCTCCCACAACCACATCAAAATTACAACTAAACTACTGAACAACCATCCTTCAGAACTGCCTGAAATGGAAGTCCTACAACTATGAAGTTAAAGCAGCAGCCACATGGAGACTGGTAGTGTAATAACTCCATTCTGACCCTCAGTTACTGCACGTACACACCCTGGCAGATTCTTTTTTGTAAACATAAGGGCCTTGAGAAACCCCCAAAAAACTATAAAGATAAGGGGTTAATGATGGCCTTGGGAAACTCAGCGGAACCATGAGAAAAAAGAGATTAATGGCTGCCCTAGCCTTTAACAGCTGCTCTCACCCCCTTTCTATTAGTCCCCCCCCCCCCAAAATAGTGTCAAAAGCAGCACCAAGAATGTAGTTTTTTTTCTCTGTAGTTTGTGTCTATATAAGCAGGCAACAAAGAAGGCTCGGGGCTGTTGATTTGGGGAGAGCCCCCCAGCCCACCAGTGTAATAAAGTGCTCCTTTACAATTTAGCTGTGCGTCTCTGGTTATCTCGCTGACACCTTCAGGGGCAGAGGAGCTGACAGGCTGGTCCTACACCCACATGTACCGGATAAAAATCAGGAGGACACCTCAGCTGTGAAGGTCCTCCCTGGAGAATGGGGGGGTCACCCTCCCACACCAGGCTCCCAACACAAGGTTCCAGTGCCAGGAAGATAATCCCCATAACTTCTGCTATAAAACCAACAAAAACAGGCTGAGGAAGGCTTTGGCTTCTGTAGCCCTAGGCAGCTCCTCTTAAAGGGCCCGCACATGGACTTACTCAACCCACTCCCCCTAAGCTCAAAAGGGGAGGCAACTTTAAAGGCACCAGAGAAATACCTGGAGCAGCAGTTCTCAACCTGTGGGTCACCTAAGACCATCGGAAAACACATATTTCCGATGGTGATTTATAACAGTAGCAAAATTACAGTTATGAAGTAGCAACGAAAATAATTTTATGGTTGGGGGTCACCACAACATGAGGAACTGTATTATGGGGTTGTGGCATTAGGAAGGCTGAGAACCACTGACCTTGAGACTTATGGGAAAGAACTGAACTGCTTGGCCTCAGGATGAGGGCTGGAGAGACAGCTTTCTCTCAGACAGACCTGCTGGCAGAAGCCTTTGATCCTCTGGTGAGTCTTTCCCTGGGCAGCAGACAGCAGCCATATCTGGGACTCCAGCAACCTGGCTCACACTGGTGGCCCTGCCCTGGTGATTCCCTGAGGCCCTGCCCCACCCATCTTTCGGGCCCACCCAAGCTGTTTTTAATGGCTTTACCATAGGATTGGCCTATCTTGGATCCTGCTTCAGAGTTTCCTAAAATCTCTCAAACAAGGAGCATCTGGTCTCAGCAAGCCCCATACCTCTCATTAAGTGGCCCCAGGCCTGGCACTAGAAGAGCTAGCCTTAGTTCACAACTTGGCTTTTCCTGGCCACCTCCAAGCCCAGCACCAGAAGCAGTCATCTGAAGATCACTTTGTAGCTTATGCCAGTGGCCCCAGATAGAACACAGGCAGTGGCTGACCTTGCCCCAGAGCCAGCACACCCAGTGGACAGCTTCAGACCACATCGATACACCACCACCCAATCACTTCCACAAGTGACACACTTAGTGAGTGGATGCCCTGATGAAGTAAGCTTTGCTTTGTGTGGTGGGCCCCTACACAGCTGATTCTCCAAGGTAGTCAGAGGCCAGTCGCCAGTGGGCACAGCCAGTCCTTGCAGCTGATCAGCCTGAGTAAATCCTTCCCATTGACTCAATTACAACAGAAGGGAGTTCAGTCCACACAGGGGTGCACCTCGAGGGCCCGGCTGGGGTGATCAGGTAGGCTGTGCCACTGGATCCTACAGGACACCTACAACAATAGGCCACCCTAAGAATCTTAAGAGACATAGCAACTCTACCTAATTAATAGAAACAAACATAGAAGCAGCCAAAATGCGGAGACAAGAAAACATGTCCCAAATGAAAGAAAAGAACAAAACTCCAGGAAAAGAAATAAACAAAATGGAGATAAGCAATCAGATGCAGAGTTCAAAGCACTGATTATAAGGATACTCAAGGAACTTAGTAAGACATTCAAGGAACTTAGAACTTCAAGGAACTTAAAGAGAACTCCAAGGAACTTAGTGAGAACATCGACAACATAAAAAAGGACCAGTCAGAAATGAAGGTTGTACTAACTGAAATAAAGAATAATCTACAAAGAATCAATAGTAGAGTAGGTAAAGCCAAGAAGCAAACCATCGATTTGGAATATAAGGAAGCAAAAAAACACCCGATCAAATCAGCAAAAAAAAAAAAGAATCCAAAAACATGAGGATAGTGTAAGGAGCCTCTGGGACAACTTCAAGCATGCCAACATTCGCATCATAGGGGAAGAAGGGGAAGGGGAAGGGGAAGGGGAAGGAGAAATTGAAAACCTATTTGAAAAAATAATGACAGAAAACTTCCCTAACTTGGTGAAGGAAACAGACATACAAGTCCAGGAAGCACAGAGTCCCAAATAAGATGAACCCAAAGAGGACCACACCAAGACACATCATCAAAATGCCAAAGGTGAAAGACAGAGAGAATCTAAAAAGCAGCAAGAGAAATGCAGTTTGTTACCTACAACAGAGCTCCCATAAGACTGTCAATTGATTTCTCAAAAGAAACTGCAGTCCAGAAAGGTATGGCAAGGTGATGAAAAGCAACAACCTACAACCAAGATTACTCTTCCCTGCAAAGCTATCATTTAGAATCAATGGACATATCAAGAGTTTCCCAGACAAGAAAAAGCTAAAGGAATTCATCACCACCAAACCAGTATTATATGAAATGTTGAAGGGTCTTCTTGAAGGAGAAGAAGAACAAAAATATGAACAATAAAATGGCAATAAATACATATCTATCAACAAATGAATCTACAAACAAATTTAGCAAGCAGAACAGAAACAGACTCATAGATACGAGAACTTTTTGTTGCTTGCCAGATGGGCAGGGACTGGGGGAATGGGTGAAAAAGATGAAGGAATTAAGATGTACATATTTGTTGTTAGACTGATGAGCCTCAAAGGGAAGACGGGAGGGAGGGAGGGTGGGATGAAATAAACCAAAGAACTTCTATGCATATATGCATAACCAATGGACACAAACAATAGTATGGGAAGGCAGGAGGGGGCATGATTGGGGAGGAGGGGGGGGTCAATGGGGAAAAAAGAGGGGACATCTGTAATACATATTCAACAATAAAGAGAAGTTAAAATATTATTTTAAAAATGAGAAACGATGGCTAACTCTTTCTCACAAAAGAATTCCAAACTCTTCATGTAGACACTTCCCGTTCCAGGAATCCTGCCAACTTTAGTGTGGATCACATATAATGATTTGCTTACAAAGAGTAGAGTACGGGAAGGGGGAAAATGTAATTTTATAGTGGAGAAACCTGTCAAATACTACCATGGCCAGATCATTATTAACATCATCGGTGATCAGTCATGTTAACAATAAGCACCCTTGCTTTGGCCGGTTTGGCTCAGCGGTTAGAGCATTGGCCTGTGGACCAGAGAGACCCAGGTTTGGTTCCTGCTAAGGGCACGTACATCGGTTGTGGTTTGTCCCCGGCCCTGGTTGGGGTCATGTGGGTGGCAACTACTCGATGTGTCCCTCTCACGTTGACATTTCTCTCTTCCTCCTTCTCTCCCTCTCGCTCTATCTCAAGATAAAT